AAGAAATTACACACGACACTTTTTTTTCTCTTTTACTCGTCACGAGTTTCGGCACGCAGAAAAATCGTGTTTCTCGCATACGTAAAAAAAACGATAATCTCGATTCTCATTCGACTCGTTCGTGTAGCTCGAAGTGTATCTCAAAAAGTGTAAAAGAATACCGGACTCGCGGTCTTCTCGCCGCGAATGTTCGACGCGGCTCGAAATCCCCCTAACAGCCGAGAGATCGACGGATCAAAATTAACATTCTCACACGACAACGCTCTTCACGACACACGTCTCGACACCTGTCACGCAGCTTCATCTCGTTTTCCTCTCTCTCCCTCTCTCGGGACACAACAATATCGAGCGATTTTACAGAGCGCAACTAACTCTACAATAAAATTCGTTACATTATGTGAGCGATATTAAAATTGCTTTATATCAATCCGTATTTACATACTTCGTAGATCGCTTCCAAATCGTTTTGCAAGGCATCCTTTGAGCAGTGGGCACTCTCATCCCGCGCGATAACTCACTGATTGAGGGATCACGAGAATATGCCAGTAATGTCGTAGGCATCGCTATTTCAAACGATTTGAAATACGTGGCTTGACAATCAGGTCCGTAGGCAAAGTTCATTTCAACTCGAAGAGCTGTCTTTTTATTCAATGAAAGAAATAAGAAAAATATTCGAGTTTTCTTATCCAAATAAATTTTACTCTTATAAATTATCTCCTTTATAAAGTAGAGAAGATTCTACTTCAAAGATGTTCAAGGATTTTGCAACATTTACGCATTATTTCCCCGCTATTTTTTCCCAAGTTAAATTAAAATATTTGATATTGATTCTTTGCTAAATAAAACTCAGATAAAATATAGCGAAGAGACAGAAGATGTAATACTCTTCTAAATCTAGAGGGTAAGAGTAAAGAAATGTGTCTCTAAACTCAACTGTCAAACCACGTAGATCCATATCGCAACGATTCACGCACGAATGTTCGAGCTGATCAATCATAAATCGATAATATCCATCGTACATTCATCCATCAACGATTTTACTTCACTTCTTATTACAAGTTATTTTATTTTATTCTACGTCTTTACGTTTTGCGTATCGTAAGGAACTACTTTTCCCTGAAGATATTTTCAGATGTTAAAGGGATTAAAGCGCGAACATTCGTGCTTCAGCGACAAGCTTGGTACGGTTTCAGTGTCTGTTAAAAGTTGTCTTAAACCACAGCTTCTATGTAGATCGATATAACAATTTATAGACTTAATAGCGTGGCAGAATGCGCAATCAACCAACTCCACTTTGTCTATCTCTCCTCATTGGTAAGTTTAGTTGGGTAGATGTATGTGTATGTATGCGTGTGTGTGTGTGTGTGTGTGTGTGTGTGTGTGTGTGTGTAATAATTTAGCCTCTTTTATATACACTACGTATATAAACAGTCTCCTCTCGATCTAAATGTATATACCAAACACACACTGGACGAGTTTTGCTCATTCTCATCTAATACCGCAGTGTTTCTCCGCTCGGCTTATGCATTATTATTCAGCTTATCACCTCACTTCTTCATCTAGCGCCGCCAAGTACACGCGTTCTCAGTGCTCTAAACAAACGACATTATCACTTTTGCTAGTAATAAAAACTCACGCTTGTAGTTCTGAGACGACCATTAACAAATACATTCAACCGTCATACACACACACGTGCGTCGAGCAATCCACGTTCGACGTTTCTCAAAGAAGTTTAGAGGAGATATTTTTTCCCATCTATACACGCGACAGGCATATCGACGAGATTCACGCTAATGAGAGAGAAAGAGTGAGAGAGTATTATCATTAGAATTGCATATTTTTAAGTAGTCCAAAGTAGGAAGTTTATGAGAAATCACTGTACGATAAATGAAAAGCACAACAGTACATACATCTCTTATATAGAAGGATTATTTTATTCTTTCAATTAATATACTCATTAGAGAGATAATTAGCGTACTCTGAAATAGACGATCTTCCAACGTGGTATACAGTGATATCGCGGTGATGAATGCGGTCTTTTAATTGCGACGTAACTATTTTGTAAAGTTAAAGTTTTATTGACTATAATTGTGAGATGTGAATTGCATCCTTCTTCGCGTGAATTGCATCTATGACTCTTTCTTTTTCTTTCTTTCTTTCTTTGAAAAATAATACTCTCGACCAGTAAAGCTTATTTTTTTTCATTATCGTTCAATCAGGAAACAGCTCGAAAGTCTCATCAAGGATATCCATTCAAAACTTATTACATATTATACATATACATATAGAATATTTAGACTGTTTTTTTTTTCCGCTTACACTTCAAATCACTCAATTAAAATGGAAAAATCAATTTCTTTTCTTTCACACATAATCAATCGATAATTTTGACACACCTGCACACTAAAATTCTCACATAATTATTTATGTGTTACATATGACATATCTGAAGAAATTCAAATCGATAATATACAATACGGATAGCTGTGATCAATCTTCAGATGCAAGTTATTACGATACATTCAAACATACATTATCAAACAATCATTCGCAATTTATACGCTCCTTCTAAAGATCTCGTTCATATTCTATAGCAACCTTATGCGAGATAAAGACTATTGCGAAATAAGAATAAGATGATTCCAACAGAGGTAACTTTGTACCACAAAGAAAATGATAATGTTAAATTTCGATCTCAATGTGGATTATCCCTCTAGATAGAAGTCCAGAGAAATCTCTTTCGTTACATTAAAGAATTGTTTTGCTATCAAAACTTTATTCTTTAATGTAACGAAAGAGATTTCTCTGGACTTCTATCTATGTCAATCTACTTTACATCTATTCAATGTTCTGAAGTTTATTTTAAAAAAATTATTTAGTATTTTTTTTTGTATAACGAAGATATTACAGAAATTACGAAGTAAAATTTGTACTCGTATCAGAAAAAAATATTTTGCTAGAAGTTGTTATAAAAAAGATAAAAATATCAAATGACTGCAACTTAAATAAAACATGAGAAATTCGAAATAAATCATTTATTTTAGCTGCAATATAACTTGTAATTATATTCAAAAGATCTCTGAAATATATAACAATGTATTAAGGAAAAATTAAAACTCTAAAATAATCAAAATTTATTTTAGAGATTTTTCATTAATTATTTTTCATTAATTTGTATTAATTCATTAGAAATAATCTTATTGAAATATTTGAAAATCTGATTTCTGAAGGTGCGATGACAAGTTATATATCTTATTATATTTCTTTTATAAACAACATCTAGCAATTTCGTGGCTTTCAATTCGATGACAAACCAATTAATTAGCTTTAATTTTAAAAATATACAGTGTCTCATCTGTTATTCCAGTGACAATTATCAATGACAGATCTCGGACTATTATAGTCTCAGCATTTTTGAAATTAGAATTTTAATGTGAATATATATGTATTAAAATTTAATTTCAAAATTGCAGGAATTTGTCACTTAACAATTGTTACAGAAAGATACATTCTGTATATTATCAGATTGCACACATAAATCGATCATTTTAGTTACAAATTAACTTCAGTGATCGATATCTAATCTTCTTCAACTACACTATAATCCTTTCACGAAAACGAGAGAAAATTTAATTTAATTGTTTTTTTTTTTTTTTGTTAAACCACGATTAATAAACACAAAATATTAGATCTAGAATTCGAAGCTTTAACAAGTGCTCTTTTTTGACTAAAGCCCCCTTTTCCTTTTTTCTGAAAAGATTTGCGACACAAAAAGACTTAAACTATTTTTAATTTTCAATGACTTTTAACAATTGCTCGATGGACAAATATTAAAACAAAAAAAAATGCAAATAGAAAATATAATTAATTTTCTATATGACTGCATGTGGTAGTAATTTCAGATAAGAACCTTTGAATTTATATCTTATTAGATCTGATAAATAAAAGTAGCTTAAGCCTTTTTGGATCTCAGATCTCATCAAGTATACCTAATATGTAAATTACACATTTACCATTTATTATGCTTCATAACGCTATCGATTACACATTCTTTGTCACGCAGCTATGCTGCTCACACATCAATTCCACACATATCGATTTTATTCATGCCGCTATTCATCCTACACACCACAGAGATCACGCAACAATCGGAGCGCATATATTCAAATGATCAGAGCTATCCGCTTTTGTCTTAAACCTAAACTTCCTTTAACGAACGGAATTGTGCTAATTCGTCAAACCAGTAAGAGAGTGGATAGAGTCTGGAAATATTATGATACACGCAGTGATAATTCGTGCAAAACATTAGAAAAAATGTCAACATACTATAGGCTCTGGTTTTTGTCTCTTTTTTACCATACGAAGTCGAAATATTTTTGGAAAACTTTCGACTTCGTTAGTTACTACCGTTCGTTATGGTTGTTGCGTCGGGACCCGTGGATAGAGGATCCGTTTGGTTTTACGAGTAGACCCACGGCCCCGATTGAATTTACTCGTACTTGAGAAAGGTATTCGACTTCTGGTCACGCTGACCCGGGTGATTCTGCCAGGCGCCCTGGGACGCGTTCGGGTTATTCGGCCCGGGGCCGCCGGTGCCGGGATTGCCGGTATTGCCGTCGCCGCCGCCTTGGTTCATCCAGCTGAGGAAGCCGGAATTGCCGCTATTGCCAATCGTATTGTTACCGGAAGGCGGCTGGCCCGGTGGGCCCGGCTGGTTCGAATAACCCTGGTCGTTTCCCTGGTTCTGCAGGTTACCGATCAGACCCCAGGACGCCTGGTTTAGGGCGGCGGCCACTAGTGCCGGGTTGACGGGCAACGCGGACAAGTTCAGACCACCCATCGCCAGCGGATTCGACATGCCGCCTCCGCCACCGCCGCCATTGTTCTGCCCGGTGATACCGAGGGCTTGCAGATTTGGCATGTCGAGATTCCCGCGATTCCCCGGGTTATTCCAGCCATTCGGGCCCATATTGTTGCCCGAGTGGCCCATATAACGATTGCCCTGATAATTGCCCTGCACGTTATTATCGACGGGTCCCGGCGCGCCCCTGCCGCCCCTCATGTTCGAGTTCACTTGATTATTAAAGTTTTTATTGTTGCCCTCGGACTTGGGCGCGGCATTCGAGACGTGTACCGAGACGCCCTTGATAATATGATCTTCACCGCAGAGCGATTGGGCGACTTCGGGGTCAAGGAAAGTAACAAACGAAAACGCGCGGAAGGGTTTAGGGATGAATACGTCCGTGACTTCGCCGAATTTGGAGAAATAATCTCGCAGATCATCCGCGGTTAGGTCTTCAGTACAGCGGCCGACGAATACTTTGCAGGGGACTTGTTGAATCATTCCTTCCTATGTACAAACCCATAATCAATACATATTTTCACGATTATACAAGAAAAACTTGCGTACAGTGCACATTACTCACAATAACGACGGCGGTAGAATCGCTATGAGACATCTAGCGTTCGTCAAGAGAATAGCGAAAAACGTAACATAAGTTTACATGGTTACATCAAGTGTATCATATGCGTATATATTACATACAATTCCAATAGACACGCAATCTACAATTTCTCGCTTCCGGCTTAAAACTTTAACGCTCCGTTGATTGTAATTAATCTGCACTAAACGTCAAGTTTTATGTATAGAAAATTCTTAAACACATATTTATATATTTCAAGAAAGGACGCCGGCTGGCTCAATTTACAAGTAAATGTATCCACGTATGTTGTATAAAGAACACTTAAGCACTATGACCACTTGAAATCCATGCATCAATCTGTACAATGTCTTTTCTTTTATGTTCACGATGTAGAGAATCTCATGCTACATTACACTGTCTTGATTTGAATAATAAGCACATATTTGATAAAGTGTAAACAGTTATTCCAGACTAATTATTTCTACCATTAAACAACATATTTGTTATATTTAACAAACACCATGAATTAATGGGAATATATAAATGCTTTTTCTTTAATATTAATTTGATTATAACAGAGCATTTAACTTTGCGACCTAAATATTTCTGTTGTACATAATTATCATATTTTCAAAAAGAGTCTTATAATTTCTTATAATTTAAATAATCTTATAATTTAAAAGAGATTTAAATAGTCTTATAATTTAAAAGAGAAATATAATATAGTAAAATAAATTTGTTTGCCATTTTTTAATAATAAAACCATATAATATTTCTTACAGTTCTTCTGATGCTGATTTTGATATAAAATATAAAATATTTTTTTAATCTATAATATAACTGTTCATAACTTCTATGCCACACATTACATATTTTAAATAAATGTTTGAACTTGAATTTTTTAATTATATATGTACAACAGAAATACTTTAGAAAATATTACTCACAAAATTAAATGCACAAAAAATGTTCTATATATATCAGAGAAGAATAATAAATGAATACTGTAAAATTAGTTTAAAATAGTCTTTAAAGTGTGCATAAAAGAATAAATTTCTATAATTTTCCAAATATTATACCACGCATCTATTTCATTATTTTTGACACTTTTAAGATATTCCGTGATTTAAGAAACTAATGTGCTCTGCACCAATTAATAAAATTCAGATAAATGTTACAAAAAAATATAAAATAGTAATTAATAAAATAACATAATAATTGAAATTTCATCTTTTCTTTTGTATAAGAAATATAGACTTTTTGTGAGTCAAACGCAACAATAAAAAGTATTATAAGTCACACGTCAGACATGATAAACATTTGATAATTTGATAAAAAACGAATCAATATTCTACATGTACATATTCTATATTGGTTGGGTTTCATAAAGTGCATATGCGCACATTTATACATGACATGAACTATAGATAAATGTGCATATATGCATTTTATTCGGACTCAGCCATTGTATCGACATATTATATCCTATATAATTTTAATAAAACAAGAGTATCCCTAATTTGAATATAAACCGTTCCGCACATCGTCATACTGAATATTTTCAAACATTCATTCATACAAAATTTTCGACGCATTTTCTATGATCCGTGCGACACCAAAGAAATCCGTTAGACTGATATATCGCAAACAATACATATGTGACAATAATATCAACAATATCAACATATTCATGACGCTTGTAGATGCATGGTATAATACATCGTGGAATGTGCATTGAAACATTTGGTTGGAAAGATCATCGCGACAATCTAGTATTCCCATTAACCCACGATTGATTGTAATTACGAGTTTCCTCTTCAGTATCTTGATGCGTCCGGAACATGGTGATCCCTCGATGGCCGGTGCTTGTAATAGCGATCGTAGTAGTTCTCCTTTGTCGGATATCTTGCCGGATCCACGTATCTACCATCGTCACGACCATCTGGCACGACGGCGTAACGGCCGTCAACCTCGCGGCTTTCCATTGCGTATCTGCCGTCCACAGGATCCCTACCGTCGACGATGTACCTCCTATCCATCTCGCGACTGTCCACATATCTGCAGTCTACTTCTCGGCTAGGATCGATCGGCAGATGTCGGCTGTCCGGATGCCTCGCGTCCGGATAACGTACTTCCATGTATCTGCAGTCAGCCGCCGTAGCGTAGCGGCCGTCGGCTTGATCGTAATAGCACCGTTGCTCATATCCATAATTATACCTGCTCTTGTCATATTGTTCAGGACAATTGTCAGCTGGATAGGCAGCGGCGCGTCCCTCGCTGTAATATCTCGGTCCATATTCGATATCGGCTGGTGGATATGCAGAATTGGCGGTCGTTGCGGCAGCGTTTGCATGCGGTGGCGGAATGTAGCCGCGGGAATCGTAGGCGGCAGAATCCTCGTAGACGGCGTAGCTCGGCTTCTCGTTGTAGACGTTGTAAGCGGCTTGATGACCGCCACCACCACCACCACTACCACCACCACCACCACCACCACCGCCACCGCCGCCGATACTACCGCTACCACTACCACCGCCACCGCTTTCGTACTTGTATTTGTTATCGTCGTAAGGATAATTCGGGGGATACGACGGGTAGTGAGTGGTTTTGTAATCGTACTCCGAGTCGTATCTAGGGGGTGGCGCGCTCGGAGGCGGAGCAGTGGCCTCGGACGACGACGAGTTTACGTTGGCTACGTACGGCTTCGACGCCGGCACTCGGCGACTACTCGGCGTATGCACCGGTATAGGACGATAGCACTCGTTACCGTGCTTACCCGTATCATACTGACGTGCCATCATTAATCCATCAATATTCTGCAACCAGATTACACCAGCCCTCGACAATCACATACAGACTTGATCGAAATGCTGAAGCACACATACGCATTCGCTCCGCTCATCGCAGCAACGCGGCACGCGTCTCAAAACGTTGATCGAATCGGAAACCGGTCTCGATATTCCAGAACGCGAATGCAAACGAGAAATCGCAGCGCAAAATTTATTTAATCTCCGCGAGACATGACACGACAACTATCTGCTCATTCGCGAGTTTTTCTGATCACGCACTCTACTCATACTCAGTGCCGCTTCGCAAAGCCTTTCTCTCACGGAATCACACGTTTTCTGGACTCTAGAGCGAATTATTCGAAATCATATCATAACAACGCATCGCGCGTCTCGCAGAAATGCTAGAAATGTCATTCCCGTATTACGATAACTCGCGCGGATTTTCACAACTAAAGAATTGATACACGATCACGAGACACACTCCATATGCGAGATCCTTGCATTTACATATTCCAGCACACAGAATCATGTCACCCATTACAATACATTTCACGTATCTAGGAAGATACGCGCGCTCACGAAAATATTTATTTACGCTCTTTCAACCTGTATATTAATACATTCTTACTCATAATATTCTCATTCACGCGTACTCGGAATGCTACGCAATTTAACGAATATTTTGGTTTTTATCAGCGTAAAGATATCGGGTCGTTCCAAGACTTTTCTTTTTTCTCTCATTTATGTGTCGTGATCGAGGCTTGCGAAAGCTTCGCCACATTTTTTTAAACGAAAACTTGAGAAAGATAATACACGATGTTACTTGTTAAGTCTACCGTAAGTTGGATATGTTTTATCAAATCATTTCTCTCTCCGTTGCAATCTCATCACACAAGACCATTAATCACACTTCTAAAAGAGATCTCATACCGTTTTTAGAAACACAAACATACTGTATTATTTACATGTTCTTGCAAGCATTCCATTGAACGCTCTCTCCACGCACCACACTCGTATAAACATACATTCGTACATACAGACATTTTGCATTCTTTCTGTATAATTTCACCATTCTCGTAGTCTCTCACACATTCATCTATTTATACCACAGCGTATACGTCTCATATACGTAAACGTAACGTATTCAAGGAATATGAGAAGATATTGACTTTCGCTTTAAAGCATCATATGATAAATGGAGATAGACAGGAAGCTCGTAAGATAAGGTATTATTGATATCCACAAATGATCGTAAGCTTATCAATTTCAGCCGATTGTCTCTCTCACGACATTCCATCCTCTACTTGAAATATCACACGTGTATTCATATCTGTACATATCTTCAAACGTAAAGACACATAAAGACATTCACAGATGCAAAAAAGATTTGTCTTGTATATTACAAAAAAAAAAATTCTTTACATTCCTCTCAAATACGCTTTTCTGCTCTCTTCAAATAAAACATTTAAATCGTGAAAAATGAGAACTTGAAAATAAATTAGCACTTGTCAACCAATAAAATAAAACTCATGCAATATACTGTAGACAACAATGCTGCAAAATTAATTATTTATTTTATTTCTATTCCAATAAATTTAATTCAAAATTTGGAGAGTTATTAGTGATTTAAAAAAAAGATTTAAAAATTAGATTTAAAAAAAAGCTAAAACTGTAATTATATGGATAAATTATTTTAATATAAATCCATAATATATATTATAAACAAATCTTGCAACTTCAATTTTTAAAGATACATACAGATTGAAGACACGTGTTCTTGAAAGAGAGAGAATATATCATTTCAGAAACAATATAAAAATCGTTTAAGTATCGAAAACAAATTTAAATTCTTGCTATTTAATATTTATAACATATGTTATTCTTAAAATTATTAAAATTATATAGTCATATAATAACTGATTGCTAATAATATTGTGTTGTATAAGTTTTATTATTTAATAATAATAATAATAATAATAATAATAATAATAATAATCTTCTTTAATAATAGAATATGAAAAAATATGGGTGATTGATTAAATAAAAGTGCCAATTACAAAAACAACACTTTCATTACCTCTGACAAAAAATATAAATATATAAATAAATCTCCTATTGCTTTCAAAATGATTTATTCGCTCCTATATACTTTAAATATGCATCACCAATTTTAGCTTATCAAGGTTCTCTGGTACATTAGAGAAAGCGATAAAAAAATAGGCAGAAAAATTTGTAGGATCCGCAAGTGAGTTTGTTTTCTTACCTTACTATTTGGAACCTTGACATCACACCATCTGCCATCGATCATATGACGTTGTGCAAGGCATCTCAATTGTGATTCATAACTTCCAAATCTTATAAAGCCAAATCCTTTGCTTTGACCAGATTTTGCATCTTTTTTTACCTATAACAAGATATCAATATAATTTCTTATTTAAATTTATATCAATATAATTCCTTAATTAAAGCTCATTGCATTTATGCTAATTTCAATAAAATATAATATTCCACTTTTGTATTATTGGCATTTGTTATAAGTACATTATTAACTATCCATTGGAAATTCAAAGATACAGATAAATCATTTATTGTAAATTTTAAGATAATTGATAAATGACGAGATATCCTCAAAAAAATTTTACAATAAAAACTTGATAAAAATTAAAAAAAAAAATACAAGAATTTTTTCAAATTTTTATACAATCTGAAACGGTATAAAAAAACTAATGATTCTCAAAATCTCAAGATTGCTGACAAAAAATGCTAAATTATAGATTGTCAACAGAAAGTTATGCACATAAACTATATGATAAATATTTACTCAATTAAAACTATTTGTTAGGAATTTAATTATTATCAATATTTTAAAAATTTTATTACTTTTAGTACTTATATCCAACATAGATTAATCTTGAATCTAATTTATTTCTCCTTTTTTTAAATTAATGTTAATCTACATTAAAAGAAATAAATATTAATAAATTAAATCATGTCACTCTTTTATTTATCTAATAGATTAGCATAAGTTTAGAGGAACATATAATTATTAGAATTGCAAAACGCAGATTTTCTCCATGTTAATTTTCAAGTCCAAGCGTAAATTTTATCAAACTCAAATACTCACCTGAGCCATCAGAACTTCACCAAATGTTTCAAAATATTCGCGCAAGTTTTGTTCAGTAGTTTTCCATGGTAAACCGAGTACAATCAAGTCAGTGCAACGCAACTTCGTTTCCATTCTCTTAGTCTTAGCTGTGGAATTTTCCAAATTGTCATCAGATTTACGTTTGTTTTCTGAAAAGACATAATGGATGTTCATGTCTAAACTTGCTATTGCAGAGAAAAAAAAAGAAAAAAAAAGAAGTTAAGAAGAAACAAGAAAAGAAAAAAGAATTTAGAATATAGCTTCAATTCGTGTATCAATTTTTAATATTTATCAATATTTTAGCAGTTTCATATTGTTATGGGCCAAGAAAATATTATTCCACATTTAACATTATTTAAGAATACGTATAGATAACAATATTTCTGAAATAATTCTAATTCAGATGTAATAGAGAAATGGAATAGTAATCAACAAGCAGATTCCAATCTCTGTGATTTCCATTTCTACCAATGTAAATTAACTTTACTTCCAGTTTACTTTTTATCTCTTTTAATTCTGGCAATTAGACAAAAAAAATAAATTAAACCAAGATTGAAGTTACATTGGTAGAAATAAATATCTCTGATGCAGAGATATCTTATCAAATTAGACAAAAGGAGCTGAGTCCAAGTCTTCCCAAAAGCAATATTACTATCGACTGGTTGCTTCGGAATCTGATATCAGGAGTCAAGTTTATTATCGCAGCGGACGTGGGCTAGGAAGTCCCAAGAACTCATTTATATTTAATATCTTGGTTCTCTCCTGCCTGACGATCAGTGGGAGCGTCATGATCATCATCATCATCATCATCATCATCGTCGTCGCCGGCGCGAACACGACGACGACGATTGTTCGGCTTCACCCGCAAACGTCGACGCCACGAGCGCAGCGCCATCACGTTATAAATATCGTGAACGGAAAGAGGAGGAAGAGGCGGAGTAGATCGAAGGGGAGACGGGGAGGGAGAGGAAAAAAATACATATGCGTACGCATAAGTGTACCTTTGGGAAACACGCAGAAGTAAATCGCTTTGCCCCAGCCGTTCTCGGGCGGATGCAATCGGCCGTCGACCAGCCTGACGCCGCGCATCGTCCGGGATTCAGGGTTGCGGTATTTCAGGCCGCAAGTGCCGGGGAATTGAGCGGACAGGGTGGTGAGCAGGAGCGTGGTGTCGTCCTCCGTGGGCAATTCGATCGGCTCCTCGCCCTCATCTTCGGCTACCTGGATGTAGGACGACATTTCGCGGCCTTCGTTCGCGAGCTGCGCGTGTATGCTCTCTCTCTCTTTCTCTACCGATTCCGAAAGACGGCACTATCTTCTCTCACTCTTTCTCGGCGCGTGTTCCCCTTCTCGCTCTCTCTTTCACTCTTTCTTTCTCTCTCTCTTTCGCTCGCGCGCGCTCTCTCTCTCTCTCTCTCTCTCTCGCTCGCTCTCTTTCTCTCTCTTGCTCACTCTTTCTTCCCCGTTTCTCTCGGTACTCCGCGCGTCTGGATAGCTTCTTCGTTTCTTCCGCGTGTTTCCGCACGCGTACGTTATATACCAGAGAAGACTGAGAACACGGACAATCTCTCGCGCAAAACTCGCTTGCTCTCGCTTAACAACACAACAAACACACACGCGTTACGATCGCTCGCACCCAGTCACGCAACACCGCACCTCTTTCTCTCCGCTTTCTGGCGACACGGCGGGCGCCGCTAGCGCCACGCCGGAAGTACCACCGACCGCATCGCGCGGCGTCCAGAAGATTTCGGTTTTTTTCAGGCCGTTGCGGCTCTGCGAGCGAAAAAAAAACGCTATGTTTGCGCGTTTTATGACTACGTGATCTCGAATAGCGGCAGGTAAATTTGTGTGATCGTTTCGTCGCACGTTGGTCACGTCGCGTATGAGCGGAAATGGATTCTAATAACTGTCGCGGAGGACGGTCGTGCCGCGGCCAATGCGTAGGAATACCACCGTCGAATGCGGCGCCGCGCGCAATGGCGCCGGCCGACCGGCGCCATCGATTTTCCGGCGGACGTGATATGTCTCTTTCCCGGCGGGGCGACGAAGCCACGCGGAACGACGGGACGATTGAATTTTTCCCATCCTATCGCGGCGGATGGACCAATCATTAATAATAGCGAAATGATAATTTTGTTATGGCTTTAAGATGCGGATGATTTTGAATTCTCTCTGTTTTGTGATCTATACTATGTCATAGATGTAAAAGAAAATTTTAAGAAATTGATACGTATGTATGCATGTATACAAACCTAATTATTGCGTAACACGATTTGGAATATTTATTGTTGGCTATTGTCGGAATCTGTAGATTTCTATGATATCGACGCAATTAGAACGCGGTATCTAGTTTCAATTTTGATTTTACGATGGCGCCACAATCAAGATTTATAAAGTAAAAAATTTCTTTTAAATTCATGATTTTCTCGAAATAGATATTCTTCCCCTCATCTTTCAACCGCCATCGGAAATATGGGAATTTGAAGGCAATAGATTTTTCAATTGTAAATTTTATGATCATTAATAGATTCGATATTCCCACTTACAATTTTGACAATGATAAAATGTTTTCGTTAATAAAAATTTCATAAATACACAAATATTTTTATAATTTCTGCTAGAGGATTGGCATCTTAGTGTCGGTCCACAATAGGTGATTTAAGCTTTAAGACGTAAGAAATTGACCAATCATAGTCGATTATTTTTTTCATATTTGATTATAATTGGTCAATTTCTTATTTCTTAAAGCTTAAATCACCTATTGTGGATCGACACTAAGGATGGCATCTTTAAACTTAATCTGTTCCTTAGAGCCATGAGCGACAATTTTTTCTTCAAATCTTGGTTTTTCATCGATTAAGTCAAAATATAAGAGAAAAATTCTAAATTATATATTTATCGAGAATTTTTTCAAATGTTTATACAATCCGGAATAATGCAGAAATTTTCAAAATCCTTGGTGACGGAAGAATATCGATTATTTCCCAATCGAGCGTCCACATAGATTCGAAATAAAACGTGTCCTATCCAAGCGAATCGAAAATCTATAAAAGAATTAAAAAAAGAAGAAGAAGAAGAAGAATAAAATGTTTGTCATAGTTGTTTTTGAAGTATAAAACTTTAAGAAAAGATATGCAAACTTTTGAAGATATGCAAACGTTACCATATCATTATATTATTAATAAATCATTTTATAAAATCTTATCTTCAGAGTTGTCAAATTGTTAAGTAGAAAATATTGATGTTATTATTAGTTGGTTTACTGAAATTATTAAATTCCTTTTTCTAATCCAATTATTTTCAATCCTTTATGTAGCACGATATATCCTGTGTGTAAGTTATTTTTTAATTATCACAGTTTCCTGAGAGTAATTGACACATTAGCGTACAACAATAACAATGCGAAATTTTCTTCGGAAAATTTTAATTGAAGTCCTGTTACTATGACTATATATCAAAGTGTAGGCGACATAGTAATTGAAATTAAATGGAACGTAATCGTCGACATCTCAGGCAACTCAAAGCATCATTCTTGGGAACCGCGTATTCGATGAATTATGTCTCGTGGTGTGTCAATTTCTATCGAAAGACCTTTGCTACTCGTATAATTAAACATGCATGATAATGACATCTCTCCTCGGTGATAAAGTAGCAAAGTGTAATGAATAGCATTTAAGTCTTTGAGATTTGTACCATTATACATCAACACAGACCATGCATTGAAAAATAAGTCCTTTGAATAACGTTGTCTCTAAATTATTCTAAATATTCATTGTACTTGAAAAAATTAAATTAATCGCCTGACAAATACAATAATATATAAATTAATTAAGAATATATTAGCAAGAACTACGATAAATATGAAGAAAATTCGATGCAATCTTTATAGGTGAAAAGTTAAACATTTATCATATAAAAACGTGAGAAAATTTCTGTGAGAAGAATTTTGTTTATAATTCTAAATGTGAAAGCAATATTGTCTAACCGAGTAACGACGATTAATTAACTTGTCGAGGTTGTTAATTGACGTTAATGAAATTCCTTTCATTGATGCCTTTATTCTTCAGACAAACTGTTAGAGCTTAAACACAATAAACAGGAATTAGAAATAAGGAATGAAATATAAAGAAATAAGAACAGAAGATTATTTTTGAATAATGAAAGGACATCTTGATCCAATTCCTTGATTGTACATTGAATAATGGATTCCTATATATTCCTATATATTTAATTCTTTATTCCTAATTCCTTACTTTTAATTTCTCGTTCCTTATTCCTTTCGTTGCTCTACCCTTTAAATTTGCGTTTGTAGAGAATAACGCTGTTGTGACAAAGGAAGCAAGAAGTAAAATGATGGAAGAAGAAAAAGGAAACGACTGCGGCGAACATCGTCGAATACGGCAAGCGAGACTTTAAAAGCTGACGGCACCCCGTTGCGGGAAGAGATCTTGAAGAAATGAGAAGACATCGCAGTTGTTCCAGTCAAGTGACCGATCGTACGCGATTGAAACGATTCTCGGGGAATTGTCATTGACTGTTAAATACTTGCACAGTCACCAAAGCCGCTTTATAGTCCCGGCTGTGTAAGTAGTTTTGGTGTCACGAGGCACGGCCTTTCGAATTACACGTCGACGAGATAACAGTTTGCTCGGCTTCAGCTACACACGATAGGAATCCATCGTGATAAAAACGAAAGGCAGCGACTGCTAAATGTACCTAAACAAGAGTCGAAAGATTCCCTCGGGACGTTCATAGAATGTCGCTTTCACATGTCACTTTGGAAGATCCGTTCTTTCCCAAATATTCGTATTGTAAATTTTCTTTGAGATTTTGTCTCTTCGGTTTGAATTTCGGAATTTGCGTAACATGATCGATCGAATATTGTCGAGTGTCTAGACATTCAGATTTCGAAACGTTAATATTGTCATTCGTAGACGAAAGCCGAATAGAACTCGTTCTAACGAGCGAGACTGTCGGTCGCTCCCATTCAAACGTTATTTTAATTCTACGCGTTGCTTAATTAATTAACGCAAGAAATATTTGGGTGATTCAACGATTACTGGACGCGACTGCATCGACAAAACGTACTGGTTGCATAACTTGACATTTACCACTCGAAGCAAGGTGATCGTCGTTCAACGAGATTTTTTCTTCCCTCGCTGCGGGATTCACGGCGAATTGCGTTCTCGAGGATCGTATGGCTGAGAGAGACCAGAAGAGGAGTTTTCGAAATAACGACGAGTGTCGGTCGGTCGTGCTCGACCCGGGGCGGGGACAAAGACGAAGAGGACGAAGGTGGACGGTAGTATCATCGCCGTGTGAACCGGTGTGTACAACCGCGTATACCGCGTACGTCGACGACGGGGCACACAGGTGGGGCTGTATCCCACCTGTGGAGGACCCAGCGTCTGCCTGACGAGGATGATGCCCCGTTCTGGTGGGAGAAATTTAGGTTACTCGTACCACTAGGGAATGTGGGCCGACTATATACCGGCTCATCGCGACCGTCCGCCAGTTCATTCCTTCCCCGTATTTCCGATTCGTCGCATCCAACATCTCCGGCACCGGGATTCTTCCTCTCGTCGTCGTTGTTTGGCCGTCGTTTGGCACTCTCGAGAGCTCTCTCTCTCTCTCTCTTTCTCTCTCTCCTTGCAGCTCGTCCCTAGGTAAGTCTTGACCAGTGGAGGAGCAAGAAGAAGAGGATCCTCGAAATCTTCGAAAACCTCGCAGCATCCTCGAGGACCACTGTTTCTTTTCTGTAAGTAAGACATTTTATTTGGAGACTATACGTTCACATGTTGCACGATATTGATAGGTCAATATTAACTTCAAAACGACTCGGTAAAGAAACAACAATTAGTATTTTTTATATGTTAAATAATATTTTTAAAAACATAAGACAAAAAAAAGAACAATCGTTTTAGGTTTTATGAATTTTAAACTTCTCTCTTTGTTTTCGAAATGTTATTTTTAATCGGAAGAAACTTTTACATTATTTTAACTAAGATTTAAAATAACTTCTTTAAAGGTGAATAAATTATTGATTGACATTGAATTTATCTCCATCTTTATGCGAGAATGGAAATGTAAGGCGTGAGATGCGTCTTTCTGCAACATCGAGCATTGAACTCTCCGAGATTATACCGGTTTTAAGTCCTGATTTTATCAATGCACGTGTATACATTTCCGGAATTAAGATCTCAGAATAGTATAGATGAAAATCGGAACTTTGCGAATTAGCACACCCAAAGTTATGACATAATCATTTACCCGAGCTCGGGAAATTCCTGTCTTTGTTAGAATCCCATTTCAGAATCACGCGAGAATCTGTTGAGAGAAAAACAGATGTTACGCCAACGATTTACGAGCTTTTGTTAGTTAACGCAATCAAAAATTATCTTAACTTTAATGTGCGTTCACTTCTCGACTTGTATAAAGTCGAAAACGCAGGGTTTTCTATTTTTCTTCATTGTAAAATAAATTAAAATCAAAATCAGATTTTTTGATTTTTAATTTTTGCAGTAAAAATTTAAACAAATGTATAACTGTCTAATTTTTAATGTATTTAAAATAATACTTTATTTTATTTTATATTTGGTTATATTTAAATAAATTAATATTAACAATAAATTTTTTTAATTAAACTTTAATTAAACTTTAATTAAAATATCTGATAGTTCAGTTTAATAAAAGTTTTCTTATAAATTGGATGTCTTTATCTCTCATATGAAAAAAATTTTGAGAACAGAACAATTCTATCATATATATATATATATATATAGCAATATTTTAATTTGATGTTTATGCGATTGAATATCACGCTGAAAATTAAAAAAAGTGCAGTGCTATTTTCTTGACATTAAAACATAGTATATCGTTTGTTATTAATTTTTAGATAGTGAAAACGTTCCCAATGTGTTTTACAATTATGTTAATAATAGGTAGAAAAGTGGGCGATATTATTATTTTTAAGCCGACAAACGGCGAGGATGAAGAAATTCTCTTAATGAAGAAAGTATGCAATTAGTTATTCGTGTAAAGAGCGCAAGTTGAACGAGCCTGTCCTAGTTACTCTTTAGCCTAATTTGACGGAAAATTTTTTAATGTAATTTTTGAATGTAAATTATTTAAAAACATTTGTCCTTCGAGCTCTTCGCAAGTACTTAAAAAAACTTCTTAATCTCTCATCTCTCCTTTCACCGCTTTTAATTTATAGTATTCACCTTGAAGATAAACAAATAATAACTTGTGTCGACGTCGCGATGAATATCCTCGCTTTATCCTATATCTTATATGACATCTTTTCGCCGCTCGATTCATTAACGAGATAAGTAAAGGGTCGTTCGTGAAAGTTTACAGGTGCAAGACTTACATCTCCTGAGAGATGTAACTAACGGATTCGCTCGATTTCGCGTCCGACTGCAGGATAATTCTCACGATGCTTAAAAAAAAAAACGTGTAACCTTACATAGAATTACATGCCATTTATTACAACTCGCAAGTAGAATTAAATGTTACATGGAGTCTGAAAGTTTCCCCTAACTTTTAGCGATAGATATTTTAATGAATGGTACTACATCCTTTTTCGTAAAAATTTGTAAACTTTTTATAAGCACGCATTCAATTAATAGATATCAATCAAATAAGAATAATTTGCTGAATTTGCACGAATTAATTGCGCAAAGCGAGCGACTCGGATTGAATCGTGCTGACGCATCATCGACCCTGAATGATCTTTTTTTTCATCTCGATATAGCCATGTTTTGCAAGCGTTTTTAAAATTACCAGACAGCTCCTTATCTCTACGTTACATGTCCTTATTTCGATTGCTTTCGTTCTGTTCCGCAGGTTTCTTCATTTAATTTCGAATGTGAGAAGCCATTCGAGTAGAATGATACCTATCAACTTTTTACAAGTGACGGAATACTTTCAAACGCTAAAAAGAGTTAGAGGCTAAACAAATGCGATTAATAATAATAGCCATACAGATTAATTTAACGCGTCAAATTTCACATGGAAAATAAAAAGTTTTTGTCAACAGAGAAAGAGAAAAAATTTAACAAACAAATTTGTTAATAAAATTTTTACACTTTTTACGCACAATTCTATATTCTATATTCTATAGAAAATTTTGCAAAACTTCGAACAATCTATTTTAATTACCAGTGAAATGCTTATAACAAACTACATCGGAGGTGATATTTCTTGTAACAACCAAATTATTTTCATTACCTTTAAGCTTCAAATTAATTCCTCGATCATTAATTGATTTTACTTTATGAGCAAACAGCCTGAGTCTTAAAATTTTATGAATTAATAAAACGTTGCCTGAAATTAATTTCAGAGTGTTTATGTTGTCTAAATCAACATTATGGAAAAATACTTGAACTATACTATGTTACATCTTACCGAGAAGATTTGTGGCTTCTTAATGATCGTTTCGAAATATACTTCATCTCATATCAAGAAAGTTTTTCCTGACATTTTATCCATTTTCAATCGCGGTATGTTCAAGTAAAATATTACGCAAACGATCGCGCGGATTACACGCAATTTTTGTACGATAATGCCTTTATACACTGTTAATTTATATTTTACGTTAGACAGGATGCCAAACACGTTATTATAAGCCAAATTCTTTTTGGAATATTCCATCTAATGATCCACGTCACCTTTGAATTTCCCTTTCACTTATCCGCCTGGTTCTCTGTACTTTCCTCATGATGATTTAGAGAAGATTTGATCTTTATTGCCTTATTATAAGTGAATTTCTAATACGTCATAAAATTTGAGATAAGAAATACTTTTCTGTCGTCACGTTCTACAGCCAAGCCAATAGAAATCGACGAAGGTGTATCGCTACATTTTCTGGTGAGATAAGTTTCGCGCTTTTAAGATAATTGCGATAATTGCGACGATTTTGTCGACGGAGCGACGAATGGAAAGCGTACACGATTGTATGGTTCGCGCTATCACAGAATTTCGACACCTTATGTGGATAACGAGCCAACGTTGACACCTGAACAAGAGCTCTCGGTCGCGCATTGTGCGAAACAAAGCGGAGGGAAGGAGATTAATATCGTTATTGTGAAGCCGCTGCTAGTCAACGCGAGAGTGAAATTATCGTCGAAGGATCTCACGGGACCGTAAATACTTTCTTGACTGCGAATTCCCTTTGCTTTTACCAATCGAGGTGCACTTAATTAGCTGTAGCTATTCATTCTGTCCCAAATTTCGCGCTTTTAATTATTCTTATGTACATTGCGTTTAGAAAAATTCGAAAAAATTTTTAAATCTCCTTTTTCTATTGTTAAAGTATACTATGCGTTTTTTTTAAGAATCAAAATAATGTAGATTATTAAATACACGGCTGCAAATATAGAAAGTCAAGAGTTTTAATTCTTACTCGTATAGCGTTCCACATATGGCATATGCTAAAGAACGGTACTCCGTTTCCTACTACACGATATTTGTGTCTGAACAGAATTATCTGACATGAAAGTAAATTTAACACATTAGAGTAGACGATTAAAAATAACGGTTACGGCCTTCCGAGAAGGATTAAAAATGAGTCGAGTAGAATTGTGCCAAATATGGATATGCCGGGAGCGTGGTTTTAATTGATGGAAGTAATTTCGAAGCGCGACATCTGTCATTAAGTGGAAGTCAAGCGGAGATCATCCAACTGATTCAATCGTAATTGAAGATCGAAACTCGAGATTGCTATCTCCACTTTTTAGGTCCTCGAGTCTATGAGTCACGAGCGCATTTCTACTTGAACGTCAAGTAGTGAGTTCTCAATAGTGTTTCCCTTCCCTCCCTCTGTTCTCCCAACCCCTCCCTCTCCCCCAAACGATGACGGGAGTCATTAACGAAGTGGAACAAAATCGCGTGGAACAATTATCCCTCCAAATAGACTTGGCAGCCAAATCAGCCGATACTCGATATAAAAGCGGATCGACGGCGAACCCAACCTGGCGTCCGGCGAGCTCTTCTCTCCGCGGACTCGATTTGCTCGCCCGTCTCGTTTTTGCCGCAGTCGGATTCCCCAGAATCCAGACGCGGCCCGCCAGTATGCGGGATATGTCGACGGCATCGCGTTGCCGTTAACAAAAGTCCACCTCGGACGAACTGTAAGAGAGACTCCTGGAAGAGAGTCGGCTGGACGTAAAGCCGGCCAGCTAACGGTCACGATGCGATGTGGTCCGCACATACACACATACACACACACAAATACATACAGCGGACGTTTGTATGTACATTTATCTGTGTGACGTTGTATCCTATACCTATGGTTCTCATTCTCATTCTCGTTCCTGTTTACGTGAATGGTGATGACGGCCACGTCGCACGAATACCTGGAAAGCTCGGCACCAGGTCGGACAGATACTCGAACAGATACTCGGTCGATAGTTTTGATTTTGCTCGCGATCGTCCGTGACTACTTGTCAAAGTAGTAGAAAGGATTGTGATGGTAATTTCGCCAGACGAATTTTTTCCAATCTGTGGGATTTTTATAATCAGAAGTTAGATATCCTCTTTTTAATTCTTCTCAAAAGAAAGTAACATTTTATCGAAAAATAGAAATTAAGAATTTTTTTTCACTTTTATCATTTTTATATAAAAAGAGATTGCTTCAAATATATAAAATATTTTTCTTTTTATACGCTATTATTTTTATTAATTATCAACAATTAAGAACTCTTTAAATGTGATTTTACGATATATTTTTATTTATTTCTATGTTTCGATATTTTT